GGAGCCCGATGCGGGACTCGATCCAGGGACTCCAGGATCATGACCTGAGCCGAAGGCAGTCGCTCAACCAACTGAGCCACCCAGGCGCCCCTCCTCTGCCCTTTTTATGTTTTCCATTTTTTCACATTTCTTGTGGTTGGAACACAAGTTGGAAATCAGAACAGAATCAACCAAGAGGTTAACACTTACTGAGCACCTATCATGTGACTTACATTGTACTAAGTGCTGCTAAGAATAAAAAGAAATGCAGAATGAGGATTCTGTCATAGATCAGGAGGAATTTGAGGAAGAAAAGATTTACATACACAAGCGAATAATCAGACATGACAGCACTAAACCAAGCGTATCATACCAGGAGGGTCTTAGAATTAAGTTCCAGTACAATGCTTACTCTATAAACTTGAGTAATGGTGCTTAATATCTTTGCTCATTTATTGAGTGGAGTTTGAAATATTTTCCACCACTGCTAAGGGAAGTTGAAGAAGATAACAATGGTAAATTTTTGTAAATAACATAAAGGCAAGGACTAAAAGACATACTATATGTTGTTATTGGGCAGATTCTATTACACAGAGATGGCAAGGGAAAACCACAGTCATTTGCCTATGCATTCATCTCCCTGGTGCAAGTGGGCATTGTTCTATACCCCATGGCAGGATTAGAAATACCACCAGGGAACAAGTACACAAAGTTGTTATGGAAACCAGAATGCTTCAGCTCAGAGTTATTTACAGAGAACTTTCAGGATTATCACATTCAATAAAATCAAATCTGTTTTGCTTCACTGTGTGCCAGTACATCCCAATCACATATCTATTTTGAAGGGTCCTTCGATCAGCTGCACTTGAGTGAATATGGATTCAAGAGTCCCTGGGTGGTGGTCACATCACAAAAGTATAATTTATGTGTGGCCTTTCTGCAATTCATGTTTGGTGCTTGTTCACACTTGCCCCAACCATTGTCAAGTTTGCTGGCTTCTGTACTATAGGAACAAGGTGGCTGTTGACTGCCATTGGCAGGGAAACATTTCCTCCAATACAGCTGCTGTCTGTGTTGCCCAGTACTCATACAGCAGGACTTGTCTCTTCACTTTCTCTCAGCTCGACTTTCAAGCTAGATAGTAACAGCTGCCTCTGACCATCATTTTTGTTCATAATTGTGAGTTGGAATTTTTCCAGCTATCCAATTCTTTGAAAAAAGTTGTAGGGTTGGGGTTTTTTGTTTGCTTGCTTGCTTTGTTTTATTTGTTGAGAGAATGAGAATTTTCATAGCCTTTGAGGGATCTTTTGAACCATTTGATGTTTCAGCAGATGAAACTGTGGAGGCTGTCAAGCTGATGATAAAGGTATGTACTTTGTCCCTAAGCCACTAAGATGTATACTAATTTTAACTACACAGTGGCTTTAAACTGTACATGAGGTAGAGATACTATTAGGCACATTTTCTGCAAACAGGAAACTAAAACTATTTGAAAATATCATTATTTGCTTACACAACAGTTTGATAAGAAGATAGTAACTATGGAGGTGCTAGACAGGAAGCAAACTGAGTCAGTAAATTCTCCGGAAAAAGAAAAAAAGTTTGACCTCTCTTTATGAAATGTGTGGGTTGCGCACTGGCCAGAGTATTACTGCAATTCTTCATAAAAGGACAAAAACAGGACATTAACTCTGAACTATATAAGAGCATGCCAGTAGTCAGATGGCACGTTTGGTGAGCAAGCAACTATAAAGATACAAAGGATTTTGGAGATGGAGAGAACTTTAAACAACTTCTGAGCTACAGCGTCATTTTGTATCCAGTGAAACTGAAGCTCAGAGAGGTTGACCATCTTACCTACGATTACAGAACCAGAATAAGAAATAATTTGGATTCAGTAGCTTTCTTATAAATTTTTAGAAATATTCCCTCTATGGGGCGCCCGGGTGGCTCAGTCATTAAGCCTCTGCCTTCAGCTCGGGTCACGGTCCCAGGGTCCTGGGATCGAGCCCCACATCGGGCTCTCTGCTTGGCGGGAAGCCTGCTTCTCCCTCTCCCACTCCCCCTGCTTGTGTTCCCTCTCTCGCTGTGTCTCTCTCTGTCAAATAAATAAAATCTTTGGAAAAAAAAAAAAAAAGAAAGAAAGAGATATTCCCTCTACAATTGGGAAACTAAGACAAATATTAGGTCTCAACCATCAGATGGTATTTAACTCGGAGATGATCATTCCCATTTGCTAAGGCTCATTTATTGAATCACAGTTACATGGTATTTTTTTTTTTTAAAGATTTTATTTATTTATTTGAGAGAGAGAGAGAATGAGAGACAGAGAGCACGAGAGGGAAGAGGGCAGAGGGGAAAGCAGACCCCCCGCAGAGCAGGGAGCCTGATGCGGGACTCGATCCCGGGACTCCAGGATCATGACCTGAGCCGAAGGCAGTCGCTTAACCAACTGAGCCACCCAGGCGCCCCAATTACATGGTATTTGATAGATCACTGTGATTACTGAAATCTAGATCTTCTAACACAGAGGCTCTTAACCTTTCTATGTCATGAATCCCTTTGGCAGTCTGGCGAAGCCTATGGACTCCTCAGAATGTCTTCAAATGCATACAATAAAATACATACAAAGAAAAGGAAACCAGCATATTGAAATACAATTTTCAAACATTAAAAAACAAATTTGTGATATAGTAACACGTGGGCTTCTTTATTAACACATTATCAAATTTTAGCAATGTATCTAGTAACTGTTGTAATTTCAAAGTGGTGATCAGTATAATATTTTGAGATTTCTGCAACAACTATAATGTGATATGAAAATATCTGTGATTTCTATTGGTGACAAAGTCATAGGTATAGCCAACTACTGCTTCTTTAGTTTATTGTCTACATACATAATTGAAAGAAAATCTCAGTTTCATTTAGAGTTAATAAAATATAGTTTTTTCCCATCTAAACTCTATCCATAAACTTTTGGAGAGGTGTATAGGCTCCAAGTTAAGAACCCTTGTCCTGTACTTCTTCATCTGTCCAAAACAATTTTATAATTCTCAGTGGAAAAAAAAATGTAAAAGAAAAGAGATTATATTACTGGTCTAGTAATGTCAAGATATACTGTTTTTATAATATGCTATTGATTTTTAAGGATTATTTCCACATTCCTCTCTCTGAAGATGAACAAGGCAGGTGGTATCTGGAGCTGATGTATGCTGGAGCAGCCCTAAAGGACAGCTGGAATCTTGCTGATGTTGGAATATCTTTTGGTTCAACTCTCAAATGCTTTGTTAAGGTATGATGATCAGAATAACAATTGTTCCAGATACCTACCTCATTTTGAATAAAGTTGTGGCTAATTCAACAAAAGTCATTTCATAACTTAGGAAGAAGTTTTCTCTTCTTGGCTTCTCCTCTCTTCCATTTGTCTAACTGGTCTTATGCATGATTTCTGCTGCACGGGGAAATAAGGTGTAGAGACTGGATGGAGTTCCCCTTGTTTACTCCTTATGTCCTTTCCCTCCTCTATCCCCCTCGTTGCTGCACCAGTCATCCCAGAACATCCCACAAACCAATATTGGAATGAGGGCAAGGGGTGGATCTGAAATATTGATGTAGAAGGAAAATTTGATCATTTCCTTGGATTCACAATGGATTAAGGGCAGGGGAGTGAGGAGAGGGAAGAAATTCTCAGTAACAATAAGAATGAAAAGGCAATTTCTGGGGCGCCTGGGTGGCTCAGTTGGTTAAGTGACTGCCTTCGGCTCAGGTCATGATCTCAGGGTCCTGGGATCCAGCCCCGTATAGGGCTCCCTGCTCTGCAGGAAGCCTGCTTCTCTCTTTCCCCCTGCTTGTGTTCCCTCTCTTGCTGTCTCTCTCTCTGTCAAATAAATAAATAAAATCTTAAAAAAAAAAAAAAGAAAAGGCAATTTCTACATCCAAATCCAGCCAAAGTAGCCATTCATGAATTAGGTGTACATACCTACACCTGGAGATAGCTTTTTCCATTTATAGTGTACTTAATTAGTGGTATTTAAATGGGGGTCCATGGATGGGCTTTAAGAACTTTACAAAACCCTAAAATTATAAAATATGCAAAATTATGTGCCTAGAGATTTTCTGGGTAGAGGATCCTTAATTTCTTTTTTTTTTTTAAAGATTTTTATTTATTTATTTATTTAAGAGAGAGAATGAGAGAGAGACAGCACATGAGAGGGGGGAGGGTCAGAGGGAGAAGCAGACTCCCCGCTGAGCAGGGACTTGATCCTGGGACTCCAGGATCATGACCTGAGCCGAAGGCAGTCGCTTAACCAACTGAGCCACCCAGGCGCCCAGATCCTTAATTTCTGACAATTTTTTTTCTTTTCTTTTTTTTAAATTTCTGACAATTTCTTAAAGAGACAGGTGGCCTAAAGAGTTTAAGAGCTGATCTCTAGGGAAGAAATGTTATTCAATACTAGTTCTTTATCCTATATGGAAACATGAGCCACAAGGAACCAAGAAACTAAGTTCACATTCTCTGCTAAATGGAGCACTAATTTTCTCATATTTAGCATTAAAAAATTTTTATGATAGCCAAAGCTAACTTTTTTGTTTTTTTTTTACCGTTTTAATTTATTTCAACCTTTATTAAAACCAAATTTTTTTTTGATGTAGTGTTCCATGATTCATTGTTTGTGTATAACACCCAGTGCTCCATGCAGAATGTGCCCTCTTTAATACCCATCACCAGGCTAACCCATCCCTCCACCCCCCTCCCCTCAAGAACCCTCAGTTTGTTTCTCAGAGTCCATAGTCTCTCATGGTTCGTCTCCCCCTCCGATTTCCCCCCCTTCATTTTTCCCTTCCTACTATCTTTTTTTTTTTTAACATATAATGTATTATTTGTTTCAGAGGTACAGGTCTGTGATTGAACAGTCTTACACAATTCACAGCACTCACCATAGCACATACCCTCTTTCTTTTTTTTTTTTTTTAAAGATTTTATTTATTTATTTGAGAGAGAGAGAATGAGAGAGAGAGAACACATGAGAGGGGATAGGGTCAGAGGACGAAGCAGACTCCCTGCCGAGCAGGGAGCCCGATGCGGGACTCGATCCTGGGACTACAGGATCATGACCTGAGCCGAAGGCAGTCGCTTAACCAACTGAGCCACGCAGGCGCCCCAGCACATACCCTCTTTCATTGATTGACTAAGTGAGAAGTCTTTGTTTTAAAAAAATCTAAAATACTTACTACTAACTAGTAAAAACAGGGCACAGAAAAATTAGCATTGTGTGATCCCATTTAAGTAAACAAAAATAACATATTTGTACATGTGTTTGTAATGTTTTATGAGCATTTATTCATGTATTATTGTTATATTCTTGAAGAATGTTTAATTATCAAAAAGGTAAATAAAAACAACTCTGATTTCTTGTTTTCTCCTTCTGACACTAAGAAAATTATAGTAAAAAACTCTTTTAGGCAGACTAAATTCCATCTCATTTCTCTTTTTTTCATCTCATTTCTTAAATGTCTTTCCTTATATCTTTAAGTATATATACTATGTTTTTGGTGTATAGGATAAACCCTTTAAAATATCCTGGAATTTTCCAGCGCCAATAATGATGTTCAAGACCTTGTTGCTTGCTTACTTGGAGAGAGTGGCATAAGTTTATTACTAATATTTGAGCTGCTGGAGGGATGGGATTGAGCCACAGCTATTCAGGGATGTAGATAATGTGTGTTAAGAGTATGAATAGGTTACTATTATTTAACTCAGCACTGGTTTTATTTTCCTTTATTAAAAAATTCTAACTTTTATTTATTTTTGACTAGGTAGTACATTCACATTGATCCAAAAGATATAAAAAGTATATACAGTAAAAAGTCTTCCTCCCACCTCTGGCCCCCAGTTTCCCTCCCCAGAGGCAACCTATTTCATAGATTTACTTATAAAAATATTTCATAGGGCACCTCGGTGGCTCAGATGGTTAAGCGTCTGCCTTCGGCTCAGATCGAGTCCCGCATTGGGCTCCCTGCTCAGCGGGGAGCCTGATTCTCCCTCCGCCTCTCTCTCTCTCTCTGTCTCTTATGAATAAATAAATAAAATCTTAAAAAAAAAATAAAAATACTTCATAAATTCTGCCAATAAAGCATCATCTATCACAGTGGTGCAAGTTGTCTTTGCACTGAACTCTAACCTTCCCCTGGAGTTAAACTCCTAATGGAAAAAAATAGAGTATACAGGTAAAATGGGTTTACTCAAGAGACGCAGAATATAATTATGCATCCCAGGACTGGCCAACATACAGGGTTTAAATAAAAACTCTGAAGTTCCATGGAAATCTTACTGATCTTAATCTTCACCTTCTCCAGTAGAATCACATTTAGAGAATTTCATATGACTGGATTTGGGAAGAAAAACAGTATCTTGAATCTGAAGGAAGAGAATTACCTGCAAAGACCATAAATATTGGTTTTCATCCTGACTTAATTCCTGTTTAGATTAGATGATAAAAGAGGCCTATTTCAAAAGTCCACACTATTTACTGTGTATGGATAATCATAGCCCAAAGTGGGCTTACAACAACAAAAATACTTCATGAAAATATCCCACACTTCAGAGAATGCAGTCAGACCAGTTCTAAGCAGTCTAATCTATTTTAGGTAACAAAAGGTTACGTTCTAAGTCATGTTGTTGCTTTATTGCATAATTAGATATATACAAATTTAAGTACTACCTTTCCTTCTTAACTGTTACTTTGTGCAATTAATTCTACCTTCTGAAAATCTTGAAGAGCTTGTCTCTTCATTTATTTTGGTACAACTTAGACATATCAAGATGTAAACCAATGCTTTTGCAAAGTTTAAAAATTTGCCAAGTAAGCAATTTTCTTTTTTTAAAAAAATACAAGTAGAGGGGTGCCTGGGTGGTTCAGTCGGTTAAGCATCTGCCTTCAGCTCAGGTCGGTCCTGGGATCAAGCCCCGCATCAGGCTCCCTGCTCAGTGTAGAGTCTGCTTCTCTCTCTCCCCCATCCCCCCCACCCCCTGCTCATGCACATGTCCAAGCTCTCCCTCTCTCTCTCAAATAAATAAATAAAATCTTTAAAAATATATAAGTACACATTATGTGATGCGAAATAAATCCAAAATATTTGGTTTCTTTATTGTCCTTATATTTTGTGTGAATTACAAGGTTTTGCTTGTGTGAAAAGAGGGAAAGACTTTAGATAAATTAAGAGGTGATCTCCTCCTAAATACATTTTTTTTTTTTAATATGACAGGGAGAGACACAGCGAGAGAGGGAACACAAGCAGGGGGAGTGGAGGAGGGAGAAGCAGGCTTCCTGCGGAGCAGGGAGCCCGATGCGGGGCTCGATCCCAGGACCCTAGGATCATGACCTAAGCCGAAGGCAGACGCTTAACCATCTGAGCCACCCAGGCGCCCCCCTAAATACATTTTTTAAATAGTTAATATATTTTCCAGTTTCCCTGTGTATTATACCTTCTCCTTTAATAGTAATGTAGACATATTTGGAAAAGTGAATGGGGGGGTGATATGAGAATAGTGGGGAAAGAACATTGCATTAATTTTTCCTTCTCAGGGGGAAAAAGTCCTATAGAAACCATAAGAAATATCTTCTATGGGATATACATCCAAGTTCTATTAACGCAAGAGTCAATCCTGCCCATTCATTGCTGCTGCAGAGCACTGTGTTCTATAAACCATGGCATGATGCAGTGGAAAGTCCTAGGTTATTGCTGGGCATGCAGAAATACTATCCCATTTGCCCCCTTCCCTCTAACCAGTGTTACTGTGGAAACTATTGCTTGAGTTTTGTTCACTGTTGACACCCAGTGCCTAAAATAGTACCTGGCATATAGTAGGCTCTCCATAAAAATGTGATGAATAAATAAATTGACAAAGGACTTGAGAGGTAAAGTTTGAAAATTAACAAGAAGGTATATGATTGTTATCAGAAACACCATAACAAGGTATTGAGATGCATTTCAGGGTTTGGATTCCCTCCCTAACCGTGGCATCTCTCCACCCTCTGTACCCTCAAGGCAAGGTGCTCCGGCATCCTTGCCCTTTTTCCTTTCCAGCATCAGGGTTCTTAATTGCAAACAGCAGCAGAAACAAAGCCTGGACAATTTAAGCAGAAAATAAACATATTGAAAGGCTACTGGATAGTTCACAGTCTTGACAGGAAGACTAGAGAATCGGGTTCAGAAAGTATGCAGCCAGAAACAATGTCTTCATCATGCCCAGAACTAGTCCAGGAAGTCCACCCCCGCAGCCACCTCTGA